GGCACTGTAGGCCCCAGGTGTATAATAAAAAGAGACAGAAGAAGAATCAGCAGCACGCACAGACTGCAGCAGCTGCAGCGGGGGAGCAGCAAGCTGCTGCAGCAAAGAAGGAAAACGAAGATCCAGCAGCAGCACAGAACCAGACTCCGTCAGACACGCGCACGTCTGCCCTGCAGCAGCAGCAGCAGCAACAGCAGCAGCAGCAGCAGCAACAGCAGCAGCAGCAGAAGCAGCGTACAGAATGAGAGAAGAAGAGCAGCAGTTGTAAGCCTCAGTTGCTGCTAATGCCGTGTTGCTGCAGCAGCTGCTGCAGCAACCCAGCAGCAGCCCCTCAAGCAGCAGCAGCAGCAGCAGCAGCAGCAGCAACAGCAACAGCAGAAATACGAGCAGCCCTTCCAAATGAAGCAGCAGCAACTGCGTTAGCACGAGCAGCAGCAGCAGCAGCAGCAGCAGCAGCAGCCGGACAAGTATGGACCTACCGATGATATCTGCAGCAACAACGAGTCCATCATCATCTTCTCCCTGCTGCTGCTGCTGCTGCAGCAGCAGCTGCTGCTGCTGCTGCTGCAGCTTTGCTGCTCGTATTAGCTGCGGGGATCGAGCGTCGGCGATGAGGAGCTCCCGGGGGCAGACAACGAGCTGCGTGGCTCTTGAGAGTGGCAGCAGTCTGCGGGCCCAGCCTTCTGCTGCTGCTGCTGCTGCTGCTGCTGCTGCTGCTGTTGTTGTTGGTGCTGCTGCTGCTGCTGCTGCTGCTGCTGATGATGCAGATGACGATACAGACGCAGAAAACAAACGAGGAGGATCCATACGATTTACGCACTGCAGCAACAGCAGCAGCAGCAGCAGCAACAGCAGCAGCAGCAGCAGCAGCAGCAGCAGCAGCAGCAACAGCAGCAGCAGCACAAACAATGTAGCTGTTCAAACAAGACAGCAGCAGCAGCAAAGAAGAGTGCATCCACCGAGAAAATGTCACAGTTCCGTGCAACTGCTGCTGCTGCTGCTGCTGCTGCTTCTGCTGCTGCTGCTGCTGCTTCTGCTGCTGCTGCTTCTGCTGCTGCT